ATGCACCCTGTATATTGGAAAGTAATTTTAGAATGTGGACCTTTTAAACGTGAAAAACTTTCGTTGGACGAATTTTCTTGTAAACTTCATATTTACTGAGATATCGCACTTTGACGCACTAATGAGCAACCCTGTATATTCTCAAATATTACGCATTCGCGCAAGGGGGCTTTCAGTAAAAGACGCGCTTTGGTATTATCATACATTTGTTATTTCTGGTCATTGCGTTTTTGACGAATTGTTGCATTGAATATTTTGGAATTTACGTCCACATGTACACTTATTGAGAAACCGCCAGTTGAAATACGAAACTTTAACATAACAGAAAACACAGAAGATAACAAAGCGTGTGTTAACGCAGACACACTCGAATAAGCCTATGTTTGTATAATTTTTTTCGCATCAAATCTAGAAGAATCATTTTCTATAATACCCAATATAGACACTCACTTGGCCAAGCAGTTCAACCAGCACGGTGTATTTCCCTTCCAGTTTGGTAAATCCTTGGAAGCCCATATTTCTCGCCGCCCGGGCAGTGCTGACGAAAATTTCCTCTTTCTCCGTCTCAAAGGCGATATATTTCATATCTGGGTGAATCCAGCAGTTGGTCTGACCATACATCGTTTCAGGCCTCAAAGTAGCTGCTACCAAAAATATTGGGTTCTTGGAATATGCCCTGCAGATTGATTTAATCAGTATGTTTTGCAACAGTTCAGTTATCCATGTTACTTTAATTTTTCTGGATATGGTTCAAGCACTGCCATCTTAATAAGTGTATATTCTTGGGGACCAACTCCTTCTCCAGATGATCTGTCATGGTCCATGCACGGCTGACCGTCCTTTTCGCAAAAGATTGTGTATCTTTTGCCAAACTTGATTTTGTTCATTTCTTTCAGCTTCAAGAATTGCCATCTTACAAATGAATCGTAGAATGGGTTTACGGCGGTTGTAATAAAAGTTCGTCTCCAGTCCACCTGAAAGTTGCTTCCTAGGTTTAGTTGTTTTAATTTTTCGGTGCACTCACATGGATACCAAAAGCATTTAAATCTTCCACAGCTAA